GGCTTGTGCGGGAGATCGCGCAGGATTTCAAAACCGATCTGCGATTCCAAAGTTCCGCTGTACTAGCGCTCCAAGAGGCTAGCGAAGCTTACTTGGTGGGTCTGTTCGAAGATACCAATCTGTGCGCCATCCACGCCAAACGCGTAACCATCATGCCGAAGGATATCCAGTTGGCTCGAAGGATTCGTGGCGAGCGGGCTTAGTACAGTCGCTTGGTCATCGAACAAACACTAACGGCTCCTTTAGGAGCCACCACTAACCCTAAAGGTCAATGAGCAGCCCATCTCCTTTTGCACGTCTTTAATTTTTCTGTGTGTGTTCTGTTTCGTTTTGTTGTGGTTGTTGTTTCATTTTCGTGGTTTTTGTTACGTGAGTGAAAAACTCGCATTATTGTCATGAAGCAACAGAGAAAATCAATGACCACATCTCCAAAGGTGACCTGCCTCTGCAGAAAAAATGTCGACGTAGACAAAAAGCGAGCGATCGACTCTCGGTTTGATTCGCGACAAAAATTTGACAGAAAGTGAGCAGCGACGGAGGTCAACTGTTTTGATGCGTTTTCCGTGAGTTTGCTCGAACTAGACAAACATAAAGGTCACCATTTTGCGCTTTCAGCCGTTCGTATAATTTGTAACGACGTTTCAATTCATTGCCGCTGTCTTTTCTTGTTCCTTACTTGGCAAAAAAAAAACAAAAATAAACAAAAAAAAAACAAAGAACAAGAACAAGAGCCTCTTTTTAAGCAGGCGCAATTACCTCAATCTCTACGTTATTACCGTTCGGTAACAGCGTGTGTTTGTTTGTACCAGACAAACATAAAGGTCTCCAATTGCGCTTTCAGTCGTTCGTATAATTGGTTCCGACTTTTAATTCAATGTTGTTGCCTTTTCATGTTCCTTACTTGCCAAAAGCAAGTTAGTTATTACCAACGGATACGCCCCCATGCACCTGCCTTTTGTACTAGATTAATAACTCATTCGCACCAGCAAAACATGTTCACTGAAACTGAGTTTGACTGAATAAAAATCAGAGATTCGAAATAGAAAGAAAGAACAACAACAACTGGGGAAGGATGTAATACATATTAATGAGGCTTTTTTTCGCAATGCATTCTGGGAAATATAAAATTTTTTTTTGGGTCGGGAATTCTTGATTTCATTCGGAAGAAATTTTAGTAAGTCTAAAAACAGTTCTCGCTTTGGCACCAAATCTGTGAACAGTGAAAGGGAAATCGGTCAAAACTGTTTTTGGCGAGAAGTATTTTTAGAGTTCCTTCCTGGATCGATCTGCTTCGAGCTCCAACATTTACGTACCTCGAAAAAAAGGAAAGAAAGAAAAAAGGAAAGAAAGAAATAAAGAAAGAAAGAAAGAAAGAAAGAAAAACAAGAACAAGAACAAGAACAAGAACAAGAACAAGAACAAGAACAAGAACAAGAACAAGAACAAGAACAAGAACAAGAACAAGAACAAGAACAAGAAGAACAAGAACAAGAACAAGAACAAGAACAAGAACAAGAACAAGAACAAGAACAAGAACAAGAACAAGAACAAGAACAACAACAAAAACAACAACAATGTTGGACATTTACTTTCATGACATGTGTTGGCTCCTAAAGGAGCCGTTTGTTTGTGAGGTCGGGCAGTTCACTTGCTGCTTGTATATTTGGTGACTGCTTTTGTACCCTCGCTTACTGCGTGTTTTGCGAGTTCGCCCGGTAACAGTAACCTAATGGCGGTCTGGATTTCGCGAGAGCTGATGGTGGATTTCTTGCTGTAGTGCGCGAGCCGCGAGGATTCGGTCGCGATGCGTTCAAAGACATCGTTGACAAACGAGTTCATGATACCCATGGCTTTGCTGGAGATACCGGTGTCGGGGTGCACCTGTTTCAACACTTTGTAGATGTAGATCGCATAGCTCTCCTTTCTCTTGCTTTCTTCTTTTTTCTTGCCAGGGTCCGTCGGGGCTGATTTAGCCTTGCCGGCTCTCTTCTCGCCTTTTCCGGCCGCGGGAACTTTTGGTGCCATGTCTAGAAAAATCTATCACCGTTCTCTCAAAAATAGACTGAGGTGTGTGACTAGACAGGAGAATTGACTCCTATTTAAGGTCCATTGTTGAGGATCAATTAGTATGCCGACGAAAATTCTCTTTGAAGCGATTGGCTCAGATACAGCTGTGAAAGGAACAAAAGACTACGAGGCAACAGAGGGCGGAATTAATTTTGATTGGAGGGTTTCGATCCCTTAGCGCGCGCGCGAGCCGCGAGATAAGTACGGCGTCACGACTCGGAACGCGTCACAATTTGAACAACAAAATCGTTGGATTTCAGTGTGTGTCCTAGCACGAGCTAGTCTGCGAGAGAGAAAACTAAAATGACCGGCCGAGGGAAAGGAAAAGCGTCGGGCACCAAGGCAAAGAGCAGGTCCAGCCGAGCAGGTCTTCAGTTTCCAGTCGGCCGCATCCACCGACTCCTTCGCAAAGGAAACTATGCAGAGCGTGTCGGGGCGGGTGCTCCCGTGTACTTGGCCGCTGTGCTCGAGTATCTAAGTGCTGAAATTCTAGAGTTAGCCGGAAACGCCGCTCGTGACAACAAGAAGACCAGAATCATTCCCAGACACCTGCAGTTGGCCGTCCGAAACGACGAGGAATTGAACAAACTTCTAGCTGGTGTAACGATCGCCCAGGGCGGTGTTCTTCCCAACATACAGGCCGTGCTGCTACCCAAGAAGGCCGAGAAGAAGCACCATTGACAACATCAAACCATAAAAACGGCTCCTTTAGGAGCCACCAAACCTCGAAAAAAGTCGTGATCAGTGAAAAAATCCATTTACTCCAATTGACACTCGTACATGCACACACAAGCGCTCGCGTCTTTACTTTGTCATCGATCAAAACAAATCGTTTCAGTTCAGCTAGTGTCCATCGCTTACATTCCGTATTTTTGATCCCAAACTAGTAAAAGAAATAAAAAGCAAATAAAAATCAAACAGACGGAATGAAAGACAATTCAAATCAGCTTTGGTTTTTTTGGAAACATTGCCGGCGACTTTGCAGAAAAAATGTCGACGTAGACAAAAAGCGAGCGATCGACTCTCGGTTTGATTCGCGACAAAAATTTGACAGAAAGTGAGCAGCGACGGAGGTCAACTGTTTTGATGCGTTTTCCGTGAGTTTGCTCGAACTAGACAAACATAAAGGTCACCATTTTGCGCTTTCAGCCGTTCGTATAATTTGTAACGACGTTTCAATTCATTGCCGCTGTCTTTTCTTGTTCCTTACTTGGCAAAAAAAAAAAAAAAAATAAAAAAAAAAAACAAAGAACAAGAACAAGAGCCTCTTTTAAGCAGGCGCAATTACCTCAATCTCTACGTTATTACCGTTCGGTAACAGCGTGTGTTTGTTTGTACCAGACAAACATAAAGGTCTCCAATTGCGCTTTCAGTCGTTCGTATAATTGGTTCCGACTTTTAATTCAATGTTGTTGCCTTTTCATGTTCCTTACTTGCCAAAAGCAAGTTAGTTATTACCAACGGATACGCCCCCATGCACCTGCCTTTTGTACTAGATTAATAACTCATTCGCACCAGCAAAACATGTTCACTGAAACTGAGTTTGACTGAATAAAAATCAGAGATTCGAAATAGAAAGAAAGAACAACAACAACTGGGGAAGGATGTAATACATATTAATGAGGCTTTTTTTCGCAATGCATTCTGGGAAATATAAAATTTTTTTTGGGTCGGGAATTCTTGATTTCATTCGGAAGAAATTTTAGTAAGTCTAAAAACAGTTCTCGCTTTGGCACCAAATCTGTGAACAGTGAAAGGGAAATCGGTCAAAACTCTTTTTGGCGAGAAGTATTTTTAGAGTTCCTTCCTGGATCGATCTGCTTCGAGCTCCAACATTTACGTACCTCGAAAAAAAGGAAAGAAAGAAAAAAGGAAAGAAAGAAAGAAAGAAAGAAAGAAAGAAAGAAAGAAAGAAAGAAAAACAAGAACAAGAACAAGAACAAGAACAAGAACAAGAACAAGAACAAGAACAAGAACAAGAACAAGAACAAGAACAAGAACAAGAACAAGAACAAGAACAAGAACAAGAAAGAACAAGAACAAGAACAAGAACAAGAACAAGAACAAGAACAAGAACAAGAACAAGAACAAGAACAAGAACAAGAACAAGAACAAGAACAACAACAAAAACAACAACAATGTTGGACATTTACTTTCATGACATGTGTTGGCTCCTAAAGGAGCCGTTTGTTTGTGAGGTCGGGCAGTTCACTTGCTGCTTGTATATTTGGTGACTGCTTTTGTACCCTCGCTTACTGCGTGTTTTGCGAGTTCGCCCGGTAACAGTAACCTAATGGCGGTCTGGATTTCGCGAGAGCTGATGGTGGATTTCTTGCTGTAGTGCGCGAGCCGCGAGGATTCGGTCGCGATGCGTTCAAAGACATCGTTGACAAACGAGTTCATGATACCCATGGCTTTGCTGGAGATACCGGTGTCGGGGTGCACCTGTTTCAACACTTTGTAGATGTAGATCGCATAGCTCTCCTTTCTCTTGCTTCTCTTCTTTTTCTTGCCAGGGTCCGTCGGGGCTGATTTAGCCTTGCCGGCTCTCTTCTCGCCTTTTCCGGCCGCGGGAACTTTTGGTGCCATGTCTAGAAAAATCTATCACCGTTCTCTCAAAAATAGACTGAGGTGTGTGACTAGACAGGAGAATTGACTCCCTATTTAAGGTCCATTGTTGAGGATCAATTAGTATGCCGACGAAAATTCTCTTTGAAGCGATTGGCTCAGATACAGCTGTGAAAGGAACAAAAGACTACGAGGCAACAGAGGGCGGAATTAATTTTGATTGGAGGGTTTCGATCCCTTAGCGCGCGCGAGCCGCGAGATAAGTACGGCGTCACGACTCGGAACGCGTCACAATTTGAACAACAAAATCGTTGGATTTCAGTGTGTGTCCTAGCACGAGCTAGTCTGCGAGAGAGAAAACTAAAATGACCGGCCGAGGGAAAGGAAAAGCGTCGGGCACCAAGGCAAAGAGCAGGTCCAGCCGAGCAGGTCTTCAGTTTCCAGTCGGCCGCATCCACCGACTCCTTCGCAAAGGAAACTATGCAGAGCGTGTCGGGGCGGGTGCTCCCGTGTACTTGGCCGCTGTGCTCGAGTATCTAAGTGCTGAAATTCTAGAGTTAGCCGGAAACGCCGCTCGTGACAACAAGAAGACCAGAATCATTCCCAGACACCTGCAGTTGGCCGTCCGAAACGACGAGGAATTGAACAAACTTCTAGCTGGTGTAACGATCGCCCAGGGCGGTGTTCTTCCCAACATACAGGCCGTGCTGCTACCCAAGAAGGCCGAGAAGAAGCACCATTGACAACATCAAACCATAAAACGGCTCCTTTAGGAGCCACCAAACCTCGAAAAAGTCGTGATCAGTGAAAAAATCCATTTACTCCAATTGACACTCGTACATGCACACACAAGCGCTCGCGTCTTTACTTTGTCATCGATCAAAACAAATCGTTTCAGTTCAGCTAGTGTCCATCGCTTACATTCCGTATTTTTGATCCCAAACTAGTAAAAGAAATAAAAAGCAAATAAAAAAATCAAACAGACGGAATGAAAGACAATTCAAATCAGCTTTTTTTTTTTTGGAAACATTGCCGGCGACTTTGTTTTCCTTTCGTTTGGTTGGACGACGGTAATTTGGATTTGCAAAATGCCTCGACACATTTGCAGCCCGCTCTTGTCTCTCTCTCTTTCAATTGTTGGAGTGTGGAATTTGCGAATTGCATAAACTGCTTTCCTACCTGTCAAGACAGAGAAACGCATTTGAGTTTGAATGGTACGATCGCTGATCACAAGTTTGCGTGGTTGTTGCAAACCCGCTTTAATCTTTTCTATTCCTTGCCATCCCCGTTCCAATAAGGAACGAGGTACTTTTATTGGGGCTATTTTTATTGGGGCTTTTTTGGGGCTAATTTTGCATAGCAAGACAAGCGACTCGAAATGTGTGTGTTAATGAAATGTGTTAATGATCAGAACTAACGTACTTGGAGAACGGTGCGATCACGCGTGGTTCCATTGCGTGGAAACGTAATAGAATTTGAGTAGAACGTTCGCTGAACCCAGCTTTGCACGGCTTTTGAAACTCCAATTTACTACTTCCTATTTCCTGCCATCCCAGTTCCCTGTTGGAACGAGAGACTATTTGGCACACCACGACAAGCGACTCGAGTTACACTGCATTAACGCTAACACAAGGATTAGGAGAAACGTTGAGAGCAGAAAAATATCGCCCTTTGACTCGTTGTTCAAACACAGGGTTTGACCATCACTGTGGCTGATCACGACTTTCGCATGAGGTGGTGGCTCCTAAAGGAGCCGTTTATCAGTTCTCAGAGGTTTCCGTGATTTCTCACCCGCCAAAACCGTATAGGGTACGGCCTTGGCGTTTAAGGGCGTAGACCACATCCATTGCGGTAACGGTCTTCCGTTTGGCGTGTTCGGTGTAAGTCACAGCATCACGGATAACGTTTTCCAGGAAGACTTTGAGGACTCCGCGGGTCTCTTCGTAAATGAGCCCGGAAATACGCTTGACACCACCGCGGCGAGCCAGACGTCGGATTGCTGGCTTGGTGATTCCCTGGATGTTGTCTCGCAGAATCTTTCGATGGCGCTTGGCGCCTCCTTTCCAAGCCCTTTACCTCCTTTGCCGCGTCCAGACATGATTTGTTTTTTTTTTTCGAATGTTACGGATGCAATTGTTGTCGGCCCTGAACAAAACTTGAGATGTGTGGCTGGACCTCTCGGGAAACGTCACATTTTCAATTGACAAGAAAGCCAGGCCAAATGCCGACTTATGAATACCATTATCACCTATCTACACGGCCACGCTAAAGGATAGCGAAAATGACTCACAACCTTCAAAGTAATCCATGGTCAAATTCAGTCTCACTCACTCACTCACTCACTCACTCACTAATTAGTTTATTACTTTTTCGAGAGTACTCACCGAAAGCGAGCGACTGAAAACCGAGGGCAGTTTTGAGAAAAGTTGCAGGTCAGAGTTTACTAAAATTTACTTTCCGCCTCATCCTCGGAAAAAAAAAAAAAAAAAAAGAGTACCCGAACAAAGAAATTCACCGCAGCCAATCACAAGCAAACTTTGGATAACCAATCGGATCGTTGAGCGCTTGTTATAAAATCGGTTTTGTCACAGGAGATCGCGAGAAAAGCGTAAAATTTCTGAAGAAATTACGAGACTGAAGCCTCCAATCTTGTTAGCTATGGCTCGTACCAAGCAAACCGCCCGGAAATCAACAGGTGGAAAAGCTCCTCGTAAACAGTTAGCCACTAAGGCGGCCCGCAAGAGTGCTCCCGCTACGGGTGGCGTCAAGAAACCTCACCGTTACAGACCAGGCACAGTTGCACTCCGTGAAATCCGTCGTTATCAGAAGTCTACGGAGTTACTTATCCGCAAGTTGCCCTTTCAACGGCTTGTGCGGGAGATCGCGCAGGATTTCAAAACCGATCTGCGATTCCAAAGTTCCGCTGTACTAGCGCTCCAAGAGGCTAGCGAAGCTTACTTGGTGGGTCTGTTCGAAGATACCAATCTGTGCGCCATCCACGCCAAACGCGTAACCATCATGCCGAAGGATATCCAGTTGGCTCGAAGGATTCGTGGCGAGCGGGCTTAGTACAGTCGCTTGGTCATCGAACAAACACTAACGGCTCCTTTAGGAGCCACCACTAACCTAAAGGTCAATGAGCAGCCCATCTCCTTTTGCACGTCTTTAATTTTTCTGTGTGTGTTCTGTTTCGTTTTGTTGTGGTTGTTGTTTCATTTTCGTGGTTTTTGTTACGTGAGTGAAAAACTCGCATTATTGTCATGAAGCAACAGAGAAAATCAATGACCACATCTCCAAAGGTGACCTGCCTCTGCAGAAAAAATGTCGACGTAGACAAAAAGCGAGCGATCGACTCTCGGTTTGATTCGCGACAAAAATTTGACAGAAAGTGAGCAGCGACGGAGGTCAACTGTTTTGATGCGTTTTCCGTGAGTTTGCTCGAACTAGACAAACATAAAGGTCACCATTTTGCGCTTTCAGCCGTTCGTATAATTTGTAACGACGTTTCAATTCATTGCCGCTGTCTTTTCTTGTTCCTTACTTGGCAAAAAAAAAACAAAAATAAACAAAAAAAACAAAGAACAAGAACAAGAGCCTCTTTTTAAGCAGGCGCAATTACCTCAATCTCTACGTTATTACCGTTCGGTAACAGCGTGTGTTTGTTTGTACCAGACAAACATAAAGGTCTCCAATTGCGCTTTCAGTCGTTCGTATAATTGGTTCCGACTTTTAATTCAATGTTGTTGCCTTTTCATGTTCCTTACTTGCCAAAAGCAAGTTAGTTATTACCAACGGATACGCCCCCATGCACCTGCCTTTTGTACTAGATTAATAACTCATTCGCACCAGCAAAACATGTTCACTGAAACTGAGTTTGACTGAATAAAAATCAGAGATTCGAAATAGAAAGAAAGAACAACAACAACTGGGGAAGGATGTAATACATATTAATGAGGCTTTTTTTCGCAATGCATTCTGGGAAATATAAAATTTTTTTTTGGGTCGGGAATTCTTGATTTCATTCGGAAGAAATTTTAGTAAGTCTAAAAACAGTTCTCGCTTTGGCACCAAATCTGTGAACAGTGAAAGGGAAATCGGTCAAAACTGTTTTTGGCGAGAAGTATTTTTAGAGTTCCTTCCTGGATCGATCTGCTTCGAGCTCCAACATTTACGTACCTCGAAAAAAAGGAAAGAAAGAAAAAGGAAAAAGAAAGAAAGAAAGAAAAGAAAGAAAAAAAGAAAAAAAGAAAGAAAAACAAGAACAAGAACAAGAACAAGAACAAGAACAAGAACAAGAAAAAGAACAACAACAAGAGCAAAAAGAAGAACAAGAACAAGAACAAGAAGAAGAAGGAAGAACAATAACAAGAAGAAAAAGAAGAAGAAAAACAAGAACAAGAACAAGAACAAGAACAAGAACAACAACAAAAAACAACAACAATGTTGGACATTTACTTTCATGATGTGTTGGCTCCTAAAGGAGCCGTTTGTTTGTGAGGTCGGGCAGTTCACTTGCTGCTTGTATATTTGGTGACTGCTTTTGTACCCTCGCTTACTGCGTGTTTTGCGAGTTCGCCCGGTAACAGTAACCTAATGGCGGTCTGGATTTCGCGAGAGCTGATGGTGGATTTCTTGCTGTAGTGCGCGAGCCGCGAGGATTCGGTCGCGATGCGTTCAAAGACATCGTTGACAAACGAGTTCATGATACCCATGGCTTTGCTGGAGATACCGGTGTCGGGGTGCACCTGTTTCAACACTTTGTAGATGTAGATCGCATAGCTCTCCTTTCTCTTGCTTCTCTTCTTTTTCTTGCCAGGGTCCGTCGGGGCTGATTTAGCCTTGCCGGCTCTCTTCTCGCCTTTTCCGGCCGCGGGAACTTTTGGTGCCATGTCTAGAAAAATCTATCACCGTTCTCTCAAAAATAGACTGAGGTGTGTGACTAGACAGGAGAATTGACTCCCTATTTAAGGTCCATTGTTGAGGATCAATTAGTATGCCGACGAAAATTCTCTTTGAAGCGATTGGCTCAGATACAGCTGTGAAAGGAACAAAAGACTACGAGGCAACAGAGGGCGGAATTAATTTTGATTGGAGGGTTTCGATCCCTTAGCGCGCGCGAGCCGCGAGATAAGTACGGCGTCACGACTCGGAACGCGTCACAATTTGAACAACAAAATCGTTGGATTTCAGTGTGTGTCCTAGCACGAGCTAGTCTGCGAGAGAGAAAACTAAAATGACCGGCCGAGGGAAAGGAAAAGCGTCGGGCACCAAGGCAAAGAGCAGGTCCAGCCGAGCAGGTCTTCAGTTTCCAGTCGGCCGCATCCACCGACTCCTTCGCAAAGGAAACTATGCAGAGCGTGTCGGGGCGGGTGCTCCTGTGTACTTGGCCGCTGTGCTCGAGTATCTAAGTGCTGAAATTCTAGAGTTAGCCGGAAACGCCGCTCGTGACAACAAGAAGACCAGAATCATTCCCAGACACCTGCAGTTGGCCGTCCGAAACGACGAGGAATTGAACAAACTTCTAGCTGGTGTAACGATCGCCCAGGGCGGTGTTCTTCCCAACATACAGGCCGTGCTGCTACCCAAGAAGGCCGAGAAGAAGCACCATTGACAACATCAAACCATAAAAACGGCTCCTTTAGGAGCCACCAAACCTCGAAAAAGTCGTGATCAGTGAAAAATCCATTTACTCCAATTGACACTCGTACATGCACACACAAGCGCTCGCGTCTTTACTTTGTTATCGATCAAAACAAATCGTTTCAGTTCAGCTAGTGTCCATCGCTTACATTCCGTATTTTTGATCCCAAACTAGTAAAAGAAATAAAAAGCAAATAAAAAATCAAACAGACGGAATGAAAGACAATTCAAATCAGCTTTGGTTTTTTGGAAACATTGCCGGCGACTTTGTTTTCCTTTCGTTTGTTTGGACGACGGTAATTTGATTTGCAAAATGCCTCGACACATTTGCAGCCCGCTCTTGTCTCTCTCTCTTTCAATTGTTGGAGTGTGGAATTTGCGAATTGCATAAACTGCTTTCCTACCTGTCAAGACAGAGAAACGCATTTGAGTTTGAATGGTACGATCGCTGATCACAAGTTTGCGTGGTTGTTGCAAACCCGCTTTAATCTTTTCTATTCCTTGCCATCCCCGTTCCAATAAGGAACGAGGTACTTTTATTGGGGCTATTTTTATTGGGGCTTTTTTGGGGCTAATTTTGCATAGCAAGACAAGCGACTCGAAATGTGTGTGTTAATGAAATGTGTTAATGATCAGAACTAACGTACTTGGAGAACGGTGCGATCACGCGTGGTTCCATTGCGTGGAAACGTAATAGAATTTGAGTAGAACGTTCGCTGAACCCAGCTTTGCACGGCTTTTGAAACTCCAATTTACTACTTCCTATTTCCTGCCATCCCAGTTCCCTGTTGGAACGAGAGACTATTTGGCACACCACGACAAGCGACTCGAGTTACACTGCATTAACGCTAACACAAGGATTAGGAGAAACGTTGAGAGCAGAAAAATATCGCCCTTTGACTCGTTGTTCAAACACAGGGTTTGACCATCACTGTGGCTGATCACGACTTTCGCATGAGGTGGTGGCTCCTAAAGGAGCCGTTTATCAGTTCTCTGAGGTTTCCGTGATTTCTACCCGCCAAAACCGTATAGGGTACGGCCTTGGCGTTTAAGGGCGTAGACCACATCCATTGCGGTAACGGTCTTCCGTTTGGCGTGTTCGGTGTAAGTCACAGCATCACGGATAACGTTTTCCAGGAAGACTTTGAGGACTCCGCGGGTCTCTTCGTAAATGAGCCCGGAAATACGCTTGACACCACCGCGGCGAGCCAGACGTCGGATTGCTGGCTTGGTGATTCCCTGGATGTTGTCTCGCAGAATCTTTCGATGGCGCTTGGCGCCTCCTTTTCCAAGCCCTTTACCTCCTTTGCCGCGTCCAGACATGATTTGTTTTTTTCTTTTCGAATGTTACGGATGCAATTGTTGTCGGCCCTGAACAAAACTTGAGATGTGTGGCTGGACCTCTCGGGAAACGTCACATTTCAATTGACAAGAAAGCCAGGCCAAATGCCGACTTATGAATACCATTATCACCTATCTACACGGCCACGCTAAAGGATAGCGAAAATGACTCACAACCTTCAAAGTAATCCATGGTCAAATTCAGTCTCACTCACTCACTCACTCACTCACTAATTAGTTTATTACTTTTTCGAGAGTACTCACCGAAAGCGAGCGACTGAAAACCGAGGGCAGTTTTGAGAAAAGTTGCAGGTCAGAGTTTACTAAAATTTACTTTCCGCCTCATCCTCGAAAAAAAAAAAAAAAAAGAGTACCCGAACAAAGAAATTCACCGCAGCCAATCACAAGCAAACTTTGATAACCAATCGGATCGTTGAGCGCTTGTTATAAAATCGGTTTTGTCACAGGAGATCGCGAGAAAAGCGTAAAATTTCTGAAGAAATTACGAGACTGAAGCCTCCAATCTTGTTAGCTATGGCTCGTACCAAGCAAACCGCCCGGAAATCAACAGGTGGAAAAGCTCCTCGTAAACAGTTAGCCACTAAGGCGGCCCGCAAGAGTGCTCCCGCTACGGGTGGCGTGAAGAAACCTCACCGTTACAGACCAGGCACAGTTGCACTCCGTGAAATCCGTCGTTATCAGAAGTCTACGGAGTTACTTATCCGCAAGTTGCCCTTTCAACGGCTTGTGCGGGAGATCGCGCAGGATTTCAAAACCGATCTGCGATTCCAAAGTTCCGCTGTACTAGCGCTCCAAGAGGCTAGCGAAGCTTACTTGGTGGGTCTGTTCGAAGATACCAATCTGTGCGCCATCCACGCCAAACGCGTAACCATCATGCCGAAGGATATCCAGTTGGCTCGAAGGATTCGTGGCGAGCGGGCTTAGTACAGTCGCTTGGTCATCGAACAAACACTAACGGCTCCTTTAGGAGCCACCACTAACCTAAAGGTCAATGAGCAGCCCATCTCCTTTCGCACGTCTTTAATTTTTTTCTGTGTGTGTTCTGTTTCGTTTTGTTGTGGTTGTTGTTTCATTTTCGTGGTTTTTGTTACGTGAGTGAAAAACTCGCATTATTGTCATGAAGCAACAGAGAAAATCAATGACCACATCTCCAAAGGTGACCTGCCTCTGCAGAAAAAAAATGTCGACGTAGACAAAAAGCGAGCGATCGACTCTCGGTTTGATTCGCGACAAAAATTTGACAGAAAGTGAGCAGCGACGGAGGTCAACTGTTTTGATGCGTTTTCCGTGAGTTTGCTCGAACTAGACAAACATAAAGGTCACCATTTTGCGCTTTCAGCCGTTCGTATAATTTGTAACGACGTTTCAATTCATTGCCGCTGTCTTTTCTTGTTCCTTACTTGGCAAAAAAAAAACAAAAATAAACAAAAAAAAAACAAAGAACAAGAACAAGAGCCTCTTTTTAAGCAGGCGCAATTACCTCAATCTCTACGTTATTACCGTTCGGTAACAGCGTGTGTTTGTTTGTACCAGACAAACATAAAGGTCTCCAATTGCGCTTTCAGTCGTTCGTATAATTGGTTCCGACTTTTAATTCAATGTTGTTGCCTTTTCATGTTCCTTACTTGCCAAAAGCAAGTTAGCTATTACCAACGGATACGCCCCCATGCACCTGCCTTTTGTACTAGATTAATAACTCATTCGCACCAGCAAAACATGTTCACTGAAACTGAGTTTGACTGAATAAAAATCAGAGATTCGAAATAGAAAGAAAGAACAACAACAACTGGGGAAGGATGTAATACATATTAATGAGGCTTTTTTTCGCAATGCATTCTGGGAAATATAAAATTTTTTTTTGGGTCGGGAATTCTTGATTTCATTCGGAAGAAATTTTAGTAAGTCTAAAAACAGTTCTCGCTTTGGCACCAAATCTGTGAACAGTGAAAGGGAAATCGGTCAAAACTGTTTTTGGCGAGAAGTATTTTTAGAGTTCCTTCCTGGATCGATCTGCTTCGAGCTCCAACATTTACGTACCTCGAAAAAAAGGAAAGAAAGAAAAAAGGAAAGAAAGAAAGAAAGAAAGAAAGAAAGAAAGAAAGAAAGAAAGAAAGAAAGAAAAACAAGAACAAGAACAAGAACAAGAACAAGAACAAGAACAAGAACAAGAACAAGAACAAGAACAAGAACAAGAAGAACAAGAACAAGAACAAGAACAAGAACAAGAACAAGAACAAGAACAAGAACAAGAACAAGAACAAGAACAAGAACAAGAACAACAACAAAAACAACAACAATGTTGGACATTTACTTTCATGACATGTGTTGGCTCCTAAAGGAGCCGTTTGTTTGTGAGGTCGGGCAGTTCACTTGCTGCTTGTATATTTGGTGACTGCTTTTGTACCCTCGCTTACTGCGTGTTTTGCGAGTTCGCCCGGTAACAGTAACCTAATGGCGGTCTGGATTTCGCGAGAGCTGATGGTGGATTTCTTGCTGTAGTGCGCGAGCCGCGAGGATTCGGTCGCGATGCGTTCAAAGACATCGTTGACAAACGAGTTCATGATACCCATGGCTTTGCTGGAGATACCGGTGTCGGGGTGCACCTGTTTCAACACTTTGTAGATGTAGATCGCATAGCTCTCCTTTCTCTTGCTTCTCTTCTTTTTCTTGCCAGGGTCCGTCGGGGCTGATTTAGCCTTGCCGGCTCTCTTCTCGCCTTTTCCGGCCGCGGGAACTTTTGGTGCCATGTCTAGAAAAATCTATCACCGTTCGCTCAAAAATAGACTGAGGTGTGTGACTAGACAGGAGAATTGACTCCCTATTTAAGGTCCATTGTTGAGGATCAATTAGTATGCCGACGAAAATTCTCTTTGAAGCGATTGGCTCAGATACAGCTGTGAAAGGAACAAAAGACTACGAGGCAACAGAGGGCGGAATTAATTTTGATTGGAGGGTTTCGATCCCTTAGCGCGCGCGAGCCGCGAGATAAGTACGGCGTCACGACTCGGAACGCGTCACAATTTGAACAACAAAATCGTTGGATTTCAGTGTGTGTCCTAGCACGAGCTAGTTTGCGAGAGAGAAAACTAAAATGACCGGCCGAGGGAAAGGAAAAGCGTCGGGCACCAAGGCAAAGAGCAGGTCCAGCCGAGCAGGTCTTCAGTTTCCAGTCGGCCGCATCCACCGACTCCTTCGCAAAGGAAACTATGCAGAGCGTGTCGGGGCGGGTGCTCCCGTGTACTTGGCCGCTGTGCTCGAGTATCTAAGTGCTGAAATTCTAGAGTTAGCCGGAAACGCCGCTCGTGACAACAAGAAGACCAGAATCATTCCCAGACACCTGCAGTTGGCCGTCCGAAACGACGAGGAATTGAACAAACTTCTAGCTGGTGTAACGATCGCCCAGGGCGGTGTTCTTCCCAACATACAGGCCGTGCTGCTACCCAAGAAGGCCGAGAAGAAGCACCATTGACAACATCAAAACATATAAAACGGCTCCTTTAGGAGCCACCAAACCTCGAAAAAGTCGTGATCAGTGAAAAAATCCATTTACTCCAATTGACACTCGTACATGCACACACAAGCGCTCGCGTCTTTACTTTGTTATCGATCAAAACAAATCGTTTCAGTTCAGCTAGTGTCCATCGCTTACATTCCGTATTTTTGATCCCAAACTAGTAAAAGAAATAAAAAGCAAATAAAAATCAAACAGACGGAATGAAAGACAATTCAAATCAGCTTTTTTTTTTTTGGAAACATTGCCGGCGACTTTGTTTTCTTTCGTTTCGTTGGTTGGACGACGGTAATTTGATTTGCAAAATGCCTCGACACATTTGCAGCCCGCTCTTGTCTCTCTCTCTTTCAATTGTTGGAGTGTGGAATTTATGAATTGCATAAACTGCTTTCCTACCTGTCAAGACAGAGAAACGCATTTGAGTTTGAATGGTACGATCGCTGATCACAAGTTTGCGTGGTTGTTGCAAACCCGCTTTAATCTTTTCTATTCTTGCCATCCCCGTTCCAATAAGGAACGAGGTACTTTTATTGGGGCTATTTTTATTGGGGCTTTTTGGGGCTAATTTTGCATAGCAAGACAAGCGACTCGAAATGTGTGTGTTAATGAAATGTGTTAATGATCAGAACTAACGTACTTGGAGAACGGTGCGATCACGCGTGGTTCCATTGCGTGGAAACGTAATAGAATTTGAGTAGAACGTTCGCTGAACCCAGCTTTGCACGGCTTTTGAAACCCAATTTACTACTTCCTATTTCCTGCCATCCCAGTTCCCTGTTGGAACGAGAGACTATTTGGCACACCACGACAAGCGACTCGAGTTACACTGCATTAACGCTAACACAAGGATTAGGAGAAACGTTGAGAGCAGAAAAATATCGCCCTTTGACTCGTTGTTCAAACACAGGGTTTGACCATCACTGTGGCTGATCACGACTTTCGCATGAGGTGGTGGCTCCTAAAGGAGCCGTTTATCAGTTCTCTGAGGTTTCCGTGATTTTCTACCCGCCAAAACCGTATAGGGTACGGCCTTGGCGTTTAAGGGCGTAGACCACATCCATTGCGGTAACGGTCTTCCGTTTGGCGTGTTCGGTGTAAGTCACAGCATCACGGATAACGTTTTCCAGGAAGACTT